ATACCCGTATGTGTTATACATATCTCAAGGGTCAAAATCCATCCTTTATAGATAGTATTGAATTAGGCAGTAGGATATATTAACCTTTCTTTAACCTCACAAGCCAACACGAGGCTTTACTTTCCTCCTCCTTTTTTCTTTCTTTTATGAGTTACCAGAATATATACGTCATTAGCTGCTTATTTTTAGTTTACTTATTAAATTTTAATAAGTCTCTTTAGATAGCAGAACAACCAGTTAAAGAAAGTTAATATTATTGGAAAAGATAAATGCCTAATGGACACCACATGTAAGTGAAAAAGAAGAAATAATGTGACTTTGGTTTTAAAAATTGTGGGCACAGCACAGAACATAATTTTAGCCTGGAATATAAAACGTTGGTAGTTTTAAAATGTGATCTTAAAAGAGGTTCAGCTACTGTATTTTTAAAAATAATTTAGACCATATGTAACAAGAACTCAACAAAAGCAAGTAAACCAGAATAAATTGCCACAATAATATTAAAATAAATATCATGTTGTATGTCAAAACAGACAAAGAATAATTTGCAAATGGCATATAAAATGGATATGTCTTGATATGTCTTGGATATGTTTTTGAAATGTCATGGAGTCCTTTCTAAGCTATGCATTACATCACTACCTAAGATATCATGTCACTGTAATGAAAGTACGTAAGAATATTACAGTAAAGCCATTGAGAGAACCAAAATTTAGTTGCCTGACATGTAAAATTAAAACATTAACCTCAATTCCAAAGACTGGATATGGAACTGCCAAGATGGCTTAGCAGTTAAGACCATTTGGTGCTTCTGCAGGACCTGGATTCAGGCTCCCAATACCCATATTAGATGGTTCACAAGTATCTGTTATTCCAGTTACAAGGGATCTAATGCCATCTTCTGGATTTTGTGGCTAACAGGCATACACATGGCGCACATACTTATGTATGTGCAGTTGCTCACACAGAGACATAAAATGAAAATCAATGTATCTTCAGAGAATGATCACTTTGAAGGAGGAAACTCTTGAATAAACAAGATTGATAGTTCCTTCAATAACTGTTTCTGCTGAGTTCAAAATCCAGCACACCCAGAAAACGTATTTGACAGCTGGAGCTATAGCTCATTGTAGAGTGTTGGCCTAACATGGACAAGGCTCTAGGCTCTAGGCTCAAACCCAACCACCTCAAAAATATTTAATAATGAAAATATTTTTCTTATCAAAGATCTACTTCCTAAACTTCTTTTAAAAATATTTAAGAGAAATGTGTTCCAAATAATTAAAGTATTATGCTTCACAAACAATAAGAATTATAACTCATAAAAGCATTAGAGAAGGTTTCTTCATAAAATCAAATTTAAAAGACTCTGAAGAAGTGCTATTCCTTTTGCAAACTAATAACTAGCCCTGCAAAAGCAGTGACAGGAAATTTTTGATGGATTCCTTGAAGATTTGGATTCCTTGAAGATTTTATTGTTGTGGCACTAACCACAAAGACAAAGAAATTCTAAAACATGATGGACAGTGCTAGGTTTTAATTATCTGTTTTGGTTTTAAACTCTTCAATCTAGAAAGTTCTAGTTCAGTTCAATCTAAACTAGAAAGATATGAATCATCATAGAGAAAGCAGAAAGTAAAAGAAAATTCTACCATCTAGAAAATAAGCTTAACCATATTTAACTAAAAATCACCATTTCCTAAAGGAAAATGTAATCTCACAAAGTCCTATTTTGTTTAATGCTGTCAGGAATCACATTATCTTTTTGATGTTATAGACTCATATTTATCACTATACTTGAATCATGCTAATATATTTTAACAAGGTGAGCTATATGATATTCTATTTTGTAATCTACTTTTTAGAACAATTCATTCTAAGAACTTTCCTATAAAATTAAATTTTCACCAGCATGATTGTTAATGGCTATACTATATTCATGTACAATAACTTAACCATTTCCTAAATGTTTTACTATTTGAAACTAAAGTTTGGTAAATATAATCATTTAAAACTGGAAGTCCTTCTGTTTCTAACAGGAACTCAATGACTGGCTCTTTGGCCTCCCCACCCCCCAAGGGAGGAGCAGTCCTGTTAGACCACGAAGGAGGGCTTTGCAGCCAGTCCTGAAGATACCTGATAAAACAGGATCAGATGAATGGGGAGGAGGTCCCCCCTATTAGTGGACTTGGCAAGGGGCACGGTGGAGATGAGGGAGAGAGGGAGGGACTGGGAGGGAATGAGGGATCGGGACATGGCTGGGATACAGAGTTAAAATGTAACTAATAATAAAAAATAAAATAAAATAAAATAAAAAAACCTGGCAGTCCTTATCAGCACTGGCAACTCTTACAGAGATCTGGGTTCAATTTGCAGCACCCATATGATGGTCAAAACTGTCACTCTAGTTCCAGGGCATCTGCCACTCTTCTAGTCTCCTTGGACACCAGGTACACATGCAGTACACAGACATACGTTCAGGCTAAACACTTATACTCATAAAATGATTATAAAATATTATATAGAACCTCCTCTCCAAAAAATACAAACAAATAAAGAAATATAATGTAACAGACTTGGTGGTGTATGCCTCTAATCCCAGAATTTGTGAGGCAGAGCCAGGCATATCTCTATGAGTTCCATGCTAGTCTGGTCTATATAATTTCAAGCCAGCCAGAAATGAGACCTAATTGAAACTACATAATGAGACAAGGTAGTAGTAGTAGCAGCACCAGGACTACCACCACCACCACCACCACCAGCAGTACTAACAGTGTATCCATATTTTAAAAAAGCAATTTTAATTTTTACTTCTGATTACTTGCTAAGGATAAACAAATGACACTATCAGATGTGGAAATCTGTAGATTCAGCTACCTTATCCTTTGAAGCAAGTGTATATATATTTATATATAAATGTGTGTGTGTTCCAGGGGACCTGGAACTAGATCTAGATCTAGATAGACAGACAGACAGATGGATATCTGGAAATATATATATGGTAAAATGAAACAGATGGCTATTATAGTAGTAAATTAAGTTAACCAATTTACAGATTAATGCCTACCTGAAACAATCTACAAAAATAAAGTTATCCTATGGGAAATGGACCCAGTATGACAGTGGCAGAGTTAGACCATAGACTGTAAGTGTGATATAACTGAAATCAGTGAGGAAATTCCTACTAGATCAGTATGTTCTGTTCCTCAGTCAGCTGTGAAATAGTTGTAGGATACTGTTTCCTCTCTCGTTAAAGGTTTCCTGATGAAATGTACAGAGACTCAGGAAAGCTTGAAAAGACTCGAGATTTAATCTGTATGCATTTACAAGTGTTGTAGGGGAATTATATGCATATTATTAGTTGTTGCTATAACTCTCAAAATATTGTGTCTATAGGCCCAATTATATTTTTGATCTCATCTAATTTGGTGCTACACACTATCACCAAATTAAAAAAAAATACTGTACATCCATTCAACATATTAAACTTAGTATTTCATTATAAAATGCACTTTATCCATCTGATTTTCAAATAAATTATAGATGATATAGGTGAATGATATCATAAAAGAAGATAATGTGAAGTTTATAAATACAAAGCATTTGAGGAAAACATGACACAAAAATTAAGACAGTAAAATACAAAAGATTCAATTTTGTATATAAAAACTGACTGAAAGGTTCTGCAGTATTGATAAAAGAGACACAACCCCTAGTAGCCAGTGCCAAAAAATATGAGTTATATGAGCCAAGATATTACTAACATAAAGAAAAAAAATCATTGCCCAGAAGCTTCATCACTTATGATTTGAAACTAGGGAAAAAGCTTACTCTGCTATTCTCAAAAGAAAAGCAATGAAAATGTCTTTAATATTCATATAAGCAGAATAACATATTTTATAATAAACTTTTTGTATCTTTAAGTAGGCCAACAACAATACAGTGCAGAATCATAAACTATCTTTATATATTTAGAAATTAGCCCACACAAATAGCTGCCTAAAACTGCTAGACAAACAACAGAATATGCAACCATTGAATGACCATGAAAAAAGGCAACACTCTGAACCTACTCCATCCAGACCAATGGTCATTCTATAAAAAAAAAAAAATTCTGAAAGATCTGACTCACTTTGTTGGCTCTTCTCCAAAGAGGAAAGCCAGCAGTCCTGAAAGAAATGCTGATAAGGAAGCACATGAGCCAAGAGAAGAATGCCATTCCATTCTAAATTATTAAAGGCAAAGATTATAGTTCATTTGGGGGAAGCTTGGGATCCCTAATAATTACTACTTATCAGCAGATTGAGGAAAGCTTACCATGTTGATTCCCTCAATCCGTACTGTTCTGGAAGCTGACAATCAAACTAAATCTGGATATCTGTTATCATAAAGTCACAGATAAAAAGAAACCTTCACAGCTTGTGTTGGAGTTCCATCTGGAAATGGTGTACCAAAGTTTTGGTATTTTTTTTCTTAGTTTGTGTTACTTTGTTACTCTATTTTCAGAAGAGTGAAAATATTTCCATTAATCCTTTTTTTTTCTCTCTCTCAGATACACACTTTTCTATTCACTGGAGTTGAGGTAAGAAATAGGTGTAAAGCAGATTTGAAATTTTCTTTTTGCTATCTCAGCTCTGCATTAAGACCATTATACCATTTCACTTCATCAGTGTATTAAGATCTCTATAAAACCAGATATGGTTTAAATCCAATGCTTTAGTCCAAGCACTCCAGAATCACAGGTACATAGATGTCTGGGCTCAAAGACTGCCAAAGCTACATAGTGAGATCCTGTCTCAAAACAAACAAAAACAAAAAACAAAAACAACAAAAATTCTGTAAAGCCAACAGAGCAGAGCACGCTAACAATCCCAGCTCTCAACAAGTGTATAACTCTTTATTTTCTAGGCACTTGAGTTCATAAACTTATTTGGCTCAGGTTTTTGATATAATTCTGAATTAGAAGATAAAATTGGGTAAAGGAAAATGGATTTACTTACAATTTGGCGAAGGGGGAGTGTCTAACTTCTAATTTACTCCCCACTGTGTCTATGATTATTTTACAATTTATAGAAATCCGTAAATGAGGCAAAGGCTAGAACAAAGCAGAAAAAGAAAATATATTAAATGTGTCCACATTGGGAAGAGGGAAAAAGTGATTCAGCAAACAAACCCTTCCACTACCAACAAATCCATTTTAGAGGGCCTGAACTAAGATTAAAGTTTAAATAGAAGGTAAAGGACACACAAATCTAAGCAGTCCCACTTCACTGGTCCCACTTACCACTCAATTGACTTTTCATTGAAAGGGTTTCAGTCTAATCCTCTAAGGTGTTCTGACAAGTTCTGAAAACTGAAACTCTCTAGGAAGAAAAGTTCTCACTCTGGCTAGGGTCTTTTCAGTCTCAGTATGAGATTCTTGGTAAAACTAACAATTCCTTTGAGGTTCAATGTTTTATTTCTGCTAGGCCCATTACAATTCTCCACTTAACACCTCACTTTTGAAGTGGAATATGTACATGTCTAAAGCAAATATAATAAGCAGAATGCAAGTAGGGACCAGTATTAGAACACAGTCCAAGGTAGCAATATATTAAGCATGTTTCATAACTACCTGGGTTTTAGTTACTTTAAGAAGGGCTGGCACAAGCAATACCTCTTGTTGCTTTGAAGCAAGATCTCATCATGAAGCCTAGGCTAGCCTCAAACATGATCCTCTTGTTTCTATTGCTCAAGTGCTAGATTATAGGCAAGAGCTGCCATGCCTATTGTGACAGCTACAAATTTAACTGTGGCATAGGCTAAACTGCCTGTGGTGGTTTGAATTAGAATGACTTCTACAGTCTCATATATTTGAATGCTTGGTCCTTAGCAGAACTAGTTGAGAATGATTAGAAGGTGTGGCCTTGTTAGAGGAGGCGTGTCGCTAGGAGTGGGCTTTTGGGTTTCAAAAGCCTACACCAGGCTCCTTCTTATTCTCTCTATGCCTCTTGCTTGTGGATTAGAATTGAGCATTCAACTACTGCTCCAGCACCAAGCTTGCCAGACTAATCCCTGTGATGGTTATGGATTTACCTTTTGAATCTGTAAGCAAGCCCACAATTAGTTTTCTCTTATGTTTCCTTGGCCATAGTTTCGTTTCATAGCAATAGAAAAACAGCAAAGAAACGCCCTTTTGGGAGGGTAATGGGAGACCTGGTTGCCATTTTGAAGAAAATGAGGATTTAAGGATTCTCCATTTCAAAATATAAGGTCTTTTGTGAAGTAGAGGAGTCCTATCCATTCAGTTCTTGGTAGACCTCTTTGTTCACAGGTGGGAAGTAGCAACCTTTTTGTATTTTCTTTGGAAACTAGCTTCAAGCTGTAAACTTCTGAATTCCTGTATTACACACCAGTTTTATACATAAACATGGGTATCTAATAGGTTAAGGGAGGATCAAGTGTCTTTCTTTAGAATATCTCCTGTCCTGACAGAGCTTCTGCATAGCATCAGAGTTCTGTGAGCCTGGAATAATAAGTAATTTTACTGTTTCACAAATAAGAAAACCAGGTCTGTAATCCCAGTACTCAGGGAGGCAGAGGCAGGCATATCTCTGTGAGTTCGAGGTCAGCCTGGTTTACAAAGTGAGTCCAGGGCAGCCAAGGTTACACAGAGAAATCCTGTCTTAAAAAAAAATAAGGCAAACAGTATATACTCACTTATAAGTGGATATGAGACATATAATATAGGATAAACATACCAAAATTTGTACACCTAAAGAAGCTAAACCAGGAGGACCCTGAGTAAGATGATCAATCCTCACTCAGAAAGACAAACGGATGGACATTGGAAGAAGGAGAAAACAGGAAACAGGACAGGAGCCTACCACAGAGGGCCTACTGAAAGAGACTACCCAGCAGTGTATCAAAGAAGATGCTGAGACTCATAACAAAACTCTGGGCAGAGTGCAGGGAATCTTAGGAAAGAAGGGGGAGATAGTAAGACCTGGAGAGGACAGGAGCTCCACAAGGAGAGCAACAGAACCAACATATCTGGACACGTGAGGTCCACATCTTTTCTGAGGCTGATATTCCAACCAAGGACCATTCATGGATATAACCTAGAACCCCTGCACAGATGTAGCCCATGGCAGCTCAGTATCCAAGTGGGTACCCTAGTAAGGGGAACAGGGACTATCTCTGACATGAACTCAGTGTCTGGCTCTTTGATCACCTCTCCCTGAGGGAGGAGCAGCCTTGCCAGGTCACAGAGGGGGACAATGCAGCCAGTCCTGATGAGACCTGATATGCTAGCATTAGATGGAAGGGGAGAAGGACCTCCCCTATCAGTGGAGTTTGAGAGGGTCATGGGAGGAGATGAGGGAAAGTGGGATTGGGAGGCAATGATTCCAGGCTATAGCTGGAATAAAAAGTGAATAAACTTAAAAAATAAAAATTTAATAAAAAAGAAAAAATAAAATAAAATTAGAAAACAAACAAACAACAAAAAACAAAGCAAGTCTTGGATTGATGATGAAGCCGCTATGTGATTAAAACTACTACTGTGCCCCAGGTCAGATTCACACTCAAATGCTATCCTTATTGTAACATTACTCTAACAATGAATAAACAATCAGTATTTACCTGAGAAAAAAAATCAGTTTTTACCTGATTAAATTCTACAGTAGATGATGATATTTAAAAGGCCATTTTTGCAAAGCTGAACCACAGGTCTTAAGCCAAGTATTTCGGAGATGGAGCTCAAGAGATTTTTGCTCTTCCAAGACTGTTATAGTGAGAATATTTATAACTGAATCAATCTTGCCCTCTATAAATGCTGAATAACTTCCCACTTAAAAGACTTTGCTTATACTATGTGCCATTATTATTTAAGTGTTAGTCCATTTTCAAAACTTAATTGTGAAAATAATTAAATGCAGTACAATTGTCTTCCTCCTTAGACAAGCATGCTGATTAGCCAGAACATCTCTGTCCACTCAGTTTCAATAGGACTCAAATGCACTCATTCTAATTAGCTGGGTTCTCAACTGTACATAGTATTTCCCTCAGATCATAAACTACTTGAGAGATAAGGATGTGGCATGATCTCTGCTGTACTGTTATTCAGCAACCAGCTGGCATAGAAAATACTTAGGCAGTTACAGCTAAAACACCAAGTCTCTTTAGCAGGCTAAATAAACCAGTTGTCTGTCTCACTACTTTTCTTTAACTATAACTTCCACCTTTCTATTCTCTTGACAAACTATTACTTTTACCATCAACAAGAAACAGTGAAGTGTGGACAACAATCACATAGTAGATTTTGTTCTTTTTTGTTTTTATTTTATTTATTTTTTCTACGTTCATGTAAAATAATTCATCTCCTTAAAACATTTTCATACATGTATATCATTGTATTTTGATTTCCCATTTTACTTTACTTTTATTTTCCTACTTTATACTTAACACAAAGCCATAATTGTCAACACTCTACTAACTATAGATTTTGTTTTGTTTTTTTTCTCGAGACTAGGTTTCTCTATGTAGCCTTGGCTATTCTGTGTACACCAGTCTGGTCATGACCTCATAGAGCTCCATGTGCCTCTGCCTCACAAGTGCGGGATTAAAGGTGTGCACCACCAACTCCCTGAATATAGATTCTTTTATGGTATGTCTAAAGAATATTTTCTGCTTACTACCTGACTTACACCCTTAAAGGCCAACAACCTGAATATGCATACATTTTATTAGCTGCTTTATAACCCCCCTACATGTAGTTATATATATATAAACTGTCCACTGTTAATGTTTGTTCTTTTAGGATGGTTCCATTTCATTCTTTTTTTTTTTTTTTACCGGGCCCGGTGTGCCGGGCCGCCAAAGCCGGGCTGGAGCCCCGCGCGCGGTGCCGCTGCCAGCCGTGCCCAGAAAGTTGCCCTTGTCCCCGCTTTCCCTGCTGCCCCTTCGGCTTTCGGGGAAAGGGGTGCTGCTCCGCGTACTCGTCCTAGCAGAGGAAGTTGGCGGGTGTGTGCGCGGAGGGAATTGGGGTGCACTAGTTGGCTGCGGCTGCGGGGTGGGGGGGCGGGGGCCGCTTAAGTTATCGATCCCGGTGGCTGTGGAGGAATGTGGTGAGCGGAGTCACGTGGCGGCCACCACCTCCTCCTTCTCCTTCTCCTCCTCCTCCTCCACCTCCACCACCTTCCCCTGCCTCCTCCGGGGGAGATCTGGGAGCCAGGAGGTCCGGAGCTCTGAGGCCCCGGGAGCTGGCGGGCCAGGACCCGGGGAGGTGCGGCCAGGCCGGCCAGTGGATCGGGCGAGGCCAAGGGCGCGACAGCTGGAGGCGGCCGAGGCCTCTGCGACCCAGGTGGCGAAGCTCCATTTCATTCTAAACAAGAGAAAAGCACACTCCTCTTTTTTTTGTACACACCTCTTATTTTCTAATAATAAATTTCTTGTGTGAATCATTATTTGGTAACTCACCATCCAGAAGGATGTGATGGATTTCATTTTACCACTAGTATAACAGTAGTATTAGATTATAGAATGACTGTCTCAAATTGGAAGTAAGGAGAGTAGTGGCAGCAGAAGAAAGCAAATCAAATTAGGGGAAATAAGAGTTTAGAAAACATATTTAGAATAAAATGTTAAGTGCAGATTTTTTTTTTTTTTTTTTTTTTTTTTTTTTTTTACTATACTGGCCTTTCTACTTGGAGAACCTTGATCTTTTCTATTTAAAAGAAATAACTTTTTTTTTCAGGCTTTCAGGCATGGTAGAATATACCTGTCATCCTAGCATTTGGGACATGAAGCTAGAAGACAGCTTCAAGTTCAAGATGAGTGTAGGCTACACAGTTAGTACCAGACAAGTGGGGGCTATAAAGCTAAACCATGTCTCAAAAAAAAAAAAAAAAAAAAAAAACACTTTCTTAAAACACTGCCTACTTAAGATATTTGTGAGTATTAGAATTTCGTTTTTCAACACTGACCAAGGAGACTTTACGCAATTTCACTAAGTACTTTTTAGAAAGATTAAAAACAGCTGCTTAGAGGTTTTTTTTTTGCCACCAAGTCAGCCCCACATACTAGAAATAAAGTTATAAAAGTTAAAAAACTATT